GAAGAAGCCCCCCTGCTTATTGGCAGCGGCAGAAAGCAGGAATTGAATGTACTAGAACTTTTATCTCCAACAGCTGAAGAGCTAAGCGTTTGAACTCCTTCTGCTCTGGCCCTAATGGGACTCAAAAATCTCCTCCTCCTCTCAGCGAGTTCCTCTAATTTATGCTTTGCAAGAGCCTGCCAAGTTTCTTTATATAGGTTCCCCAGTGCCATCACAGAGAAAGAGTCAAGAAGCCAGTCTTCCATCCAAACTCTGATCTGAATTGTTCATATTAAAAGGGCACTCTGTTTTCTAAAGTGTTGGAAGCTGCAAAGAAATTTCCACTCACGTTTGTTCAGCCCCAGTCTTACCAAACTGGCCGAATGTGCAAGCGTGGCAGAAATATCTGATATATATGTACAGCACAAATATAAATGGCCATGGGAACTTTGGTCTAACAAAATAAACTGGTATTTCATGGCAAAGTCGTCAGCAGTTTACGCTTCACAGCTCCAGCATCGAATAGGAGTGAAAGCTCCCACAGATGCATCTGCTGTTATTCCTAATGGGGTTTAGAAATGGAGCTGAGGTGCAATATTCAGAGCCAAATCCTGACCCCCCAAAGTTTGGGATCCGGGGTTTTGGTTGGAGTGCATTTCTAATAGAACGGCAACATGAGGCTGGAGGGAAATCCACTGCCCTGTCACCTTTTGTCTTTCCTTTAGGGCTAAGCAAAGCAATGCTGATAACATAAAGGGCTAGATAGTGTGACATACACACAGACAGCCTGTATGCACCATTGGAAAGCTGTGCTATTCCAATAGGAGCATCAGGGAGATTGTGCCCGATCGCTGGTGGGGTTGCTCAGTGTGTACATTGTATGCTATCCATTAGAACAGCGGTTCTCAAGCAGGGGTACATGTACCCCTGGGGGTAGGCAGAGGTCTTTCAGGGTTACTCAACTCATCTAGATCAGTGTTTCTCAACTTGGGGGTTGCAACCCCTGGGGGGGTCAGAGGACGAGTTTAGGGGGGCACAAGTGAAGGGCTGGCCTTAGGGGATGCCAAGCAGGGCAATTGCCTGGGGCACTGTGCCCATGAAACGAAGTAACATGCTTCAGCCCTCGGCAGCAGGGCTCAGACTTCAGCCCTGGGTGGTGGGGCTTGGGCTTCAGCCCCACTGCCCAGGGCCCTGGCTTCAGACAAGGCTCACAAGTGAAAAACAGGTTCAAATATCAGCCTGAAAAGTAAGTACAATATTTATATTCCAATTGATGTATATTATAACTATATGGTAAAAAAGGAGAAAGTCAGCAGTTTTCCAATATTAGTGTGCATTGATACTTTTGTATTTCCATATCTGATTTTGTAAGCAAGTAGTTTTTAAGTGAGGTGAAACTTGGGGTATGCAAGACAAGTCAGACTCTGAAAGGGGGACAGTCATCTGGAAAGGCTGAGAACCACTGCATTAGAGTGTCCGATTCCCCCCTCCCCACCTCAGTGCCCTGGCTCTCCTCTGTGGGCCAGTGCATGGTGGCCCCAGCCTTCCCCTGCCCCTCCTTGGAATGATTTGCTCCCTGAAGGGATCAAAGATTGAGCGGTCCCTGCTGACAGGGACTGCTGTTTGGCTCTGCCTTCACGTGGGTGGTGCAATGTGGGAGAGGCTCTTTGCAGTGCTCCAGCCCCTCCTGAGCACCCATGGAAGAGTAGTGTTTCTCAAGTGCAGCCACCGTGGGCACATGCAGCCACCAGGAGATTTTCCTGCGGCCACGACATCCTGGGCAGAATAGGGGGCAAAGCAGCAGCCCTTCCCTGCAGGGCCCAGGGGCTCTGGGGGCAGGCTTAACCCCCCGCTCTTCGGCCTTGGGGCTCTGGCAGCGGACTCCGGGCTTCAGCTCCCCCTCCCAGCTCCAGCCGTGGGGTCTGGGTTTCAGCCCAGGACAGCAGGACTTCAGCAGTGCCAACCTTACCCGCCGCCATGGTCAAGAGTCAAGGAGTGGGGTGAGCCTGGAGTGCGAGGCCTCAGAAGGGAGCTCAGGGCAATGGGGGAGGGAGGAAGCAGCAGGGTCTGGGGGGCAATGGAGGGACCAGGAGGAGGCAGTGGGGGCCAGGAGCACCAACATACAACTGTACATTATTTTTATTATCAAGTCTGCAAAAAAAACCAAACCCTACATAAATAAATTACAATGATTTGGATGTGTATATGTGCATATTTATTTGTTTTTCCTAAAATTAATTACGTATTTTAGGAAATTTTGTCCACAAAAGTCGGTGGCCGCACTCTGAGGCGATGAAACATTTGGTTGTGAGCACCCGACTCTAGCCCACAGAGCTCTAACAACAGATGGAATGGCCCAGACCTTTTCCCAGAACTGAAAACAAACCCCAACATAAAGTGTATATGTCTGTATCACTGGCACAGGGGGAGGAGATTGCAAACCACCATGAAAAACTCGGTTCTCACAGTGTTTCTAGATCTCACGGGGGCCTCAGCAGTAACTCGGAAGTACTGGGAATCTCCTTTGCTGGCCTACTACAGTGAGATTTCTCGCCTGATTTCTAAAGTAAATCCCTTTGTGTATGTCTGGATTGGTGTCAATGTACCAGATAAATGTACAGAGTGCTGATAAATGTACAGAGTGCTGATTCTTTGATGGCGCTCTCATTTTGAATCACAACCCCCTTTCTCAACTGGCTCATTTCAATTGTATTAAAATGGGTATAATAGTGACATATGCCTTTCATTGGAGCATCTTCAGGCACTTTACAAACGTTAATTAAGCCTCAAAACAGCTGTGAAGTGGTTTAAAGCAGCAGTTCTCAACCAGGGGTCCGAGAACAAGCAGATTACAGGGGGGTCAGCCAAGCAGGGCCAGCATTAGACTCACCGGGGCTCAGGGCAGAAAGCCGAAGCCCGGCCACCCAGGGCTGAAGCCAAAGCCTAAGCAATTTATCTTTGCAGGACCCCCTGTGGTGTGGGGCCTCAGGCAATTGCCCTGCTTGCTATCCACTAACCCCGACCCTGGGTTTTATATGCAGAAAAACAGTTGTTATGGCACAAGTGGGCCGTGGAGTCTTTAGGGCGTGTTGGGGGGGCCTCAGGAAAAAGAAAGGTTGAGAACCCCTGGTTTAAAGTATTAGCATCCCCCTTCTACAAACATGGAAATGGGGGCAGGGAAGTTAACTCGCTTGCCCAAACTTACAAAGCAAATCAGCAGCATTTACAGCAATCAAACAGAGAACTTCATTGCAGCCTGCCCCAGGCTCTCACCATGGGACCATACACACTCTCTAGATCAGTGATACTCAGACCTCAGTGGTTCAGGAGCCAAATTAGCAATCAATATTAGAGTCACAGTAGTGTGAATTCATTGTTTCATTTACTATATATATATATTATTCTCACAGCAAAATGACTGACCGAGCATTATTATTTTATCAACTACAATTGATTAATAATATAGTAAAAGCATCCTGATTGGTTAACAACTTAGACTGGTTACTAGTTGAATCACCCAGTGTTTTAATATCATGTGCTGCAAAGTGCCATAGGAGACACATTAAAGAGCCGCTTGCAGCTCACAAGCCTCAGTCTGAGTATCACTGGTCTAGATGCAGCTTCCTCTAAAAGTGTTTCCCTAAAAACCATAAATTTGCAAAAAAGCAAACTGGTTAGAGAGTGGAAGGACAGTTATAGTACGAGATTATTTTTTCATTTAAGATATTATTTGAGTGCCATAAAATCACAACCCTGTACAGTACACAAGAGAATAACTTAGAGAAGCAACCCCCCGCAACCAGCCTCAACAATGAAAAGGGTGAATGGTTCAGATGAAATCCAAGCCCACTCCAACCAATTTCACTCAAGTCTGTCAAATCCAGTCTAAAGATCTAAAGGGAGATTATCAAAGGCACAACAGAGAGTTAGGAGTTGGGCCCCCAACTCTCATTAGTGTTGGCCTATTTGTATTAATGGAAATCCCCCCCTCTATTTCCTAGGCGTTTGCATCCCACACATGTGACTTCAGACCCCATCCTGGTAAGAAGGAGCCAGCTCAGAAGGACCCCATCCCCTTTACTCCATGACAGGAGGGAAGGGATAATCTGAGTTTGCTCACTTTGAGGGGAGCGTGAAGCTGAACACTTTTTAGTTCCTCGGTCCCATGCAGATCAGCCTTACACACTCCCTTCCCAGGCACTAATGGAGCTGCAGCATCTTAATGGCTCTAAGATAGGAATAAATTAGTGTTGCTTGTTGGTCCACTCTACAATGCCATCAGCTTAAAAGTACGGAATTTCCATCACGAACTTCTGTGGGGGAGGGAGCAATGGGGGGCCTGTTGAGTTTCCAGTATCTAAAAAGATACTATGCGGAGCTCACAGTGAAAATCCCTGTGATTTGCTACACTCCCCTGCTGATAACACCATGCACAGAAGAAAGAAGTTAAGTCATTTGAGCTCTAAATATTCCTCAGTCATGTCATGTGAGTCACAGAACTCATCCCCCTCTTTAAAGCATTTGAATGCTTCTTTCCTTTCATCTCTGTTGTTGTTTACCTAGCAATTCCCAGCAATGAAGCCACTGGTGAGTATACGCCTGCTCAGTTACAAGATCCCGCTGTCTGTTTGCTGGATTAAGTTGTTTATCCTCTTACTTAAACCATTGGGAAACATATTGACTGCTTACGTCAGGCCAAACTTCGCCCTCTTCCAGTAACACGGTACCAGACACCAAGCTCAAAGAGCTGTCTGGAAGAGTGGTGACAGTACTTCACTCAGAGAGGTGCAGGTGGTAGGCATGCCAAAGTATGCAACCTTTCAGTTGACCACATAAGGACCATGTTTTGCCTTACTCCGCTGATGCTGGGGCTTTCACTTCTGCTATCTGGCACTGGATGGCCTTTGCCTCCCCGCACCAGGCTTCTGTCAGCAGCCATGATGGGATCGTGCAGTCATAGGGGTGCAGTGTCCTTGTCATGCCTCTGCCTTTCCTCTTCCCAAGCGCCTCCTGCTCCAATGGTACAAAGGATGTGAACACAACGGTATGAGAGAAGCAATGATACTGTAAATGCTTTCTGATGCACTTCAGTGGAGCAATTATCTTGGCTTGCTTCTTGGTTCTTGAATGCATCCGATGAAGTGGGCTGTAGCTCACGAAAGCTTATGCTCAAATAAATTGGTTAGTCTCTAAGGTGTCACAAACCCTCCTTTTCCTTTTAATGAATAGATAGACATCTGACACAGGAACAACATAGGAGCCTTTTAAAGTAAACGAGGGCTTTTACATTCATTGAATGGTTTGATAGGGAAAAAATAACCTCGGGTGCTATTCTTTAAAAGCAAATGAAAGAACTTTCATTCTGGGATTTTGAAATACTAGATAGTCTTGGGGGGCTGTTTCACACAAAAATGACTTTGTATTAAGAACCGTTAGTTTCTTAAATTTAGCTCTTTAAAGGATGCAAAGGAATTGGAAATCTAACCACACAGCATATCCCTCCAGTCAGCCCAACCAACTACAGTATTTGGCTTCCATTTGCAACTACCCCAATCAAAAAAAAAGTTAGGTTTGAAGGAAAGTAAGTTTGAAGTGAATGTTAAATTTATATTAGATACTTGTTAATTAGCTAGTAAATGAGTCACCCCCACAGACTGCCAGAGTCTGTGCTATTTAAAGCAACCCTTGTTGTGTCAAGTTAAACTCCGTCAGCAGCCAGAGAGTTGACTAAACAGTAATATTTCGAAGCTTAACTTATTCATATTTTTTTTTACTGTTAAAAAGGCCAAGACTAAAATACCCACCTGGGTATTCATAGTCAGGGAAGGAAGAAGAGAAACCTGTTAGCCTTTATGAAAGCTGCTTCCATTTATATGTACATCCACCAGAGTGCTCTCTGGTTACTTATGATGAGCCATCCTTGTTTTTTCCTCATGCCTCACCCTTCTGTTCCTTGTTAGCATTCTCTCCTTTAATGGTCTTTCCACAAGAAAGCTGTTGACCTGGATAAATAAGTCCAAAACCACATTTTAACCAGATTTGGTAAAAAGAAACCTGTGGGTGTTTACACCACAGTCAAAATGGTTCCTTGGCTTACTAAATATTAAAAAGGGAAGAAGGGATGGATCTTTCCAAAATTGCCCTGTTCTGGTACTGGCCACTGTCAGAGATAGGATAGTGGGCTAACTGGACCATTGGTCTGACGCAGTATGGCCATGCTTATGCTCTTAAAAGCAAACAAAAATTCTCTTAGTGGCATGGTAGCATCTGCCAAACTTCTAGGCCTACTTTATCCACATGTTAGATCCCCGACTCCCTTGTGGGCTAGTGGGGTGACACACAGCAAGCATCCAACCACTCTTCTGCTTGGGATGGAACAGATGTCTGAGGTACTACAGCACATAGCTATCAATACAAATAAGCCCTGGTGGTTCTTAAGGGGAAACTGGCATATACAGGGATTCTAAGGTGGCTTGAATTCCCTGCTTCTTTTCCTGAAGGTTCTAGAAAATTGGAGAAGTCTTTTGCAGATGAGGAAATAAAGAGATTGCTATTTGTTTGGCCAAATCCTTCCGCCAGGAACACTCAAACAACCCAACTGGAGCTAAGGAAGAGGCTTTTCAGCAACCAAGGGCAAAGTCTGAGCTCTCATTTTTCCTGATGCTGAGACCTCAGTAAATGTTGTCACCACAAGTACATCAGAAACACGTGGCATGAGGACTTCAGAGAAGGGTATCATCTTTCCACGGTCTTTGGGCCTAGATCTACAAGGCTAGAGCCATGAGTAGAAGCAGGATGCCAGGTGTAAATGATCACCATTTGTGCAGTGGCAAAATTAATGTGAACCAAAACTTGTTGTGAAGTAGCTTGGATCAACTGATCGAATGTGTGACAGGAAGCTAATTTATTTTAAAGACAAACTTAATCAGAGGGGGGAAAAATCTAACTCTGCACAGCTCAATTTTCTCCTTCTTTACTGCTAATGAAACATAATTTCCTTCTCGCCACTCCACCAAAATGACAATTTTCAACTGGACTTCCATAAATTCCATGTCACATCATACTTCCTCCACAATGTGATGAGGGTTTATGGTATCTCTACAGCCTCCCTTAGCAGCATAGTCTAGTGCCTAGGGCAGTAGGCTAACATTCAGGAAACCTAGGTTCAATTCCTAGCTCTATCACTCGTCTGAGGTAGTCACTTGCTGCCTAGTGCCTGAGTTTCCGTCTGTAAAATGAGAATAATGATACTTGGCCTCCTTTGTTAAAAGTCTTTGAGAGCTATGGACCTGGTATTATTATACCTGTACTTCCTCTATCCCATCACATTGTGATCTAATTTGCTCAGCAAAGCACAAATTTGTTTGCAGCTGTATTCCATGATCACGCATTTTTTACATGAGCCCCAGGTCAAGAGTGCCTCTAGTGTCAAGGGTAAAAGTTAATTTTTCACTTCTGAGAGCCTAAATTGGGTCATTTAGTTTCCTTTGCACATGGAGGAATATAGCATATGGAGCATACAGTTCAAAGAGGGCGCAGGATGAAATAATACAAGGAAAGCTCAGGCTTTAAGGTTTTGTCTGACAGTATGAAACTGAATATGTGTCTCTTCAAGGAAGTAACAGCTTTCCATTTTTAAGTCAAGTTTGGCCAAAGGCAACTGCGTCTTCTTAACACAGTTTGGTCATTCATCAGTGTTTGTATTTCTGCTACGTTCAGCTTGGCAGCTCAGTTTGTTATATAATGATCATGTGGGCGGCTTCCTTCCCCCTCCATTTTCCCCCTCCACACACACACTTTTATTTCCAATGTAATGTTAAAGAAGAAAAACACAAAAGAAAACACTACTGAATCTCATAAGCAAAGTCTTTCGGGAAAGGGTTTTGGAAGTTACGTCACTGAATTGGAGCCATAGGCCCAGCTCTCCCTTGAAATTTGCTCTTCACCTGATATTCAGGAGCTATTTTCCTTTCCTTCGTCTCTCTTACTTTCCAGCTCCCCATTCTAATGTTTAATACAGGCAATAGCTTTGAAGCCTTTCCAAATGAAAATGCCAGAAGCACCCAGGTTTTCCAGGGAGCCTGCCAACTCCAGCAATCATTAATTTTATGTGCTAATTTTAAAGTTGATGGGTTTTGTGTCTTGAACTTCAAAGGTGAATAATCTAGGATTTTCTAAAAAGGAGAAAATCATTTTAAAAATGTTTCTTTGCAAAAGAATATTATTTTTATTTCAAGGAATGTAGATTTCCTCTTTGTAGCCTGTATAAATGTTGTTGAAGAGCTCAATGCCAAATACTTGTTTTGTCCCAAAGAAATGTTTAAAGTGAAATAAATCGGGCTGGGCTATAAAGTGTTTTCATTTGTTTCACCGGTGGCCCTGCGGCCTTTATAAGTGAAGCGTGCACATTATGTGCGTGCAGGGCAATTATATTTTTCAGTTACAAAACACAGCTTATTAGATTGACTAAAGTGACAGATTTCAGTTTGTTTCTATCAGATATTACACAGCCATTTGCCTGAAATTTCTAGGGCATAATTTTGACAGTTTTCCCACTCATCAGCACATTAAAACCAGCTGTGGGTCTGGACAAACGACTTCAGCAGAACCTACTGAAAGTATCTTTTTTCCCCCTTCTGAGCGAGGCAAATGAAACTTGGAGTTCATTATGGTAGTTTAATTATGATTCAGTAAGGATGTCCTTCAGTGAAATCCATGGCTCCATAAACAACATGTTCTGTCATATTAGATGTCTTCTATTTCAGTTTTAAAGTCACAAAACCATGTGCTTTTCATTTGAGTTGTTGGACCCCCTGCTAAACTTATAAACAAAGGAATGGTAGCAAAGGACAATCAGCAGCTCGAAGTGTGTATAGTCTCATATTCTGGCTTGTGGAGGGAAGTTTACTGGTTTCGTAAAAGAGAATATTCAGAGCAAAATTGGGCTGATTTAGATGTTGGTATGAGATTCTGCCTCAGTCTGATATGGGTTAGAAAATGTATAACAAATGCCTTCGCCCTCAGTCTCTTACATTGTTTTAAAGTGAAAACAGCTGAAGGTTCTTGGCTTATTCTCCTTTGCAGCAGAATCTTTGGGACACGTCAGAGAAAAGTTCTGCAGCACTGCAAGCAATTAAAATGGGTATTTTTTGTGTTTGTTTTTTCCACTTTATCAAAGCCCAGAAACTAAGAGAGACAAAAGATTTTCAGGCAAATGGGAACAAAATTTTTCAATATATTTTAGCTTGTCTTAATTTCACTGTGGTTAAATGCATGAGGACGTTTCTTCTCCCCCCATCCCCTCCTATTATTTGTCCACTAAAGAAATGTAAGTTCTTCCTTAATTTCTTCTCTTAGCTTTAGTGCTCAGTTAGATTCTGACCCCCAATAAAACACTTAATCCTGTGCTTAACTTAAGCAGGTGACTTGCCCTGTTGACTTCCAGGCCAGTCTAGAAGTTTACGAGCATTACCAGTTTCTACTGTTTACTTATTAACGCCAGTGAGTTTGAGTTCCCAAAAAGACAAAAGTGCCATTATAATTGTTTACTTATTATATCTAGGGCTCTACCAAATTCACGGCCATGAAAGCTGGTCTCCCCCCATGAAATCTGGTGTTTTCTGTGCTTTTACCCTATACCAGCATTTCTCAAACTGGGGTCCACGGACCCCGGTGGGTCCCCAAGGGTACTTCTCGGGGTCCACGGGCCCCACTGATCAACTCCTCCCCTTTCAGAGGCGCAGCAGGGCTAAACCTGCCCTGGCTCTGTTCCACTCCCAGAAGCGGTGGTATGTCCCTGCAGAACCTGAACGGGAGGTGGGCCAGGGGGTCTCCGCGCTCTGTCCCCATGCCAAGCTCTGACTCCGCGGCTCCCATTGGCTGGGAGCTGTGGGCTGTGCTTGCGAGTGGGGGCAGCACGCGGAGACCTCCTGGCCCCCCTGCCTAGAAGCCGCTGCCAGAGAGATGTGCCAGTCACTTTCAGAAGCTGCCCAAGGTAAGCATCGCACCCTCACCCTCTCCCGCACCCCTACCCCAGCCCAGAGCCTGCATCCCGCACCCAAACTCCCTCCCAGAGCCCGCACCCC